TATATAGAGAGAGAGAAAGCATATTTTCAAAATTAAAAAATATAAGAGAATTTAATTAGTAAATTATATTATTAATATTATATTAAGTAATGAATTATTTGTAAATGAATTTTTTAATTAAAATTAGAAAATTACGAGCGATTTATTAATTTAAAAAATTGACGATAAAAAGGCCTTTTATATTGGTGATAAATCGATGAATGCTCGAAGGAGTAAGAGAAAGAAGTATCAAAACATTTGAAATTCGTTTTGAGTAATCATGTTTATATTTTATATTAATGACATTAAATCTTTTAAATTTGATGTATCATTTATTATTGATATTTACTAATAAATTTTTCAAGATTTATCTCTATTATAAATAATTGTTCGTTTTGAATTAAATGATATGGATTTTCTATCATAATTGTCATAATGCTAATGATTAATGATATGAAAAAATACAAATAAGATAGAATATTTATATGTGCATGTTGACTAATAAAATCCACCCCTTCTGATATTGACTGCGGACATGATGTACCCAGGCGAGCAAAATAAAAAAGATTTTAGAAAAAGAAATGAAAAAACAGCATCTTAATTTGAACTATTTATATGATATCTCCTGTGACGGTTGTCCTAGTTATAAAACATCATATGTGCATAATATCATTTTGAAAAAAATTGAATTCTAAATAGAGTTACTATTTTGTAACAAGCATGCATATTATTTCAAATACCATTGTGTTACTGTAATTTAAAAACATGATATGCTTATTGAGTTGTGTTATAACTCATCCTACTATGTGCAAATGAATACATGCACTATTAAAAAATTTTAAATGAGTAGAAGATGAGAGAACATATACCATAGGAATGACATTTCAAGAGAAAAGGTAGTTGTTTACAACTATTATAATATTTTCTATTAAAATACATCTGGAATTTTAGTGATTCTTTCGATAATATAGAAATAGTTGTTAAAAATTTTAGTAAGCAAAAAAATTTTGAATAATCATTTATTCTTGTCTCGTTAATTCGAGCATTAGTGTCATGAACAGGCCAGAAAGCTCGAATTAATGAAGCGGGACCGATCAAATGGTTATTTAAATTTTCATCCACTAAAATAACTATCTTTAATACACAGAATAAATCACTAAATCTTCAATTTCATTTTAACGAAAAATACTATAACAATTTCAAATACCTTTCTCTCAGAGCGTCGGGCCTATGATACACATTCTCTTCTCTTCTACTCATTTAAATTATTTAGATAATATATGCATACATTTGGAAATATAGAGTGAGTCATAACACAACTTACCGAGTACATCATACTTCTAAAATACAGTAATACATGCCATTTAGAAAAATATACATATTTGTTATAAAATATAGGATAACTTTATTTGATAACATTTAAATTTAAAAAAATGATCATCAATCATATTTTATGCATGTATGTAATAATATATTATGTCATAACATTTTCTATAACTAATGCAACCGTCATAGAAGACACTATCTAAAAAGTATCAATGAAGATACTCCTTTTTCATAACCTATTGTTCTTTATGCACATAGGTACATTGCATCCCCAGTCAGTAAATATAAAGAGATGTGTTACATCAATCAACATGCATATGCATGCATTCTTATATGTTATTTCATTTACATATACATAATATTTAGTATTTTTCTATCACTCACATTGTATAGCATAAACAAAACTACTGCATCATAACATGAATTATCATATGTTTAAATAAGATCAACCTTACTACAGTAAATTTAATCATGATTGAATATGCAACAGCAGTTGTATAACTAAAAAGTATTTTCGCACAATAAATTTAAGGAAAAAAATACTATTACTATAAATTATGAATATGAGTACTCACCTCAAATTCAGATATTTTGAACTTTTACTCTTACTCCTTACCCCAATGTCGATATATTTAACACCTATATAAAAAACGTTCTTATTATCAAAATAACTTACAAACTCTTTTACTCGATATTTAAATTTTATCTTTAAATATATTACTTAACATCAAAAAAAAATTCTAATTAAATATCATATATCATTGAATTATATATATATCATTGAATTAAATAAGGAGGATCTACATATGATATTTATTGATTTAGAAAAAGCATATGATAAAGTTCCAAGAGAAGTGCTATGGAGAGTTCTTGAAAAGAAAGGAGTCAATAATGCTTATATTCAAATCATTAAAGATATATATGCAGGAGCTATTACTTGTGTTCAAACACAAGGTGGATTGACCAAGTATTTCCCTTTTTCGGTTGGGTTACATCAAGGATCAGCCTTAAGCCCATATCTTTTTGCTTTAGTCATGGATGTTCTCACTAGACATTTGCAAGAGGATGTACCTTGGTGTATGCTTTTTGCTGATGATATTCTTCTTGTTGACAAGACTAGAGAGGGAGTTGAAGGTAAACTTAAATTATTATTGCATTAATCAATTATAGAGTTTCAATTTGAAAATCTTAACATTCCCTCTATTAATTAATACCTATTTTAATTATATAATTTTACTCATTATTTCATTCATTCATTAATTAAATTCTCATGAGTACATAATATCGAAATAATAACTAAAAATTCCCAAATAACAATTAAATTTCTTATAAAATCTAACCTAATCTCCCGTCATTGTTCTTCTCGTAGACACAAACCGTGCTCAAGGGCCTTCTTACTACTCGATAGTTTGCTCGCAGGCTTATTCTCCCTCTCAATCTCTCTCGTTCGATTTATCCTCGTTTCATTCTCTTTCGCATGTATTTAAAGGCTTTTCATCTCAATCGACTCTAAGTGATGAAACCGATAGAACCACTCCTTCGCCTCCTCGCGACGCCAAGAGATGAACTCCTCCGTAACTCCAAAAGACGGAAATGATTTAATTAACTTGGTCTTTTTCGACAATAGGTATTGAAAGCTATTGTCATGCTCATGCCGAGTGATCGAACAAGCTCCTCTGTCTCCTTCATCTTCCTCGTAGTGAATCACTTCTCATGACCTTCCACAACCCAGAACAGTGGAGTCTTCTCCGTCTTCCTCAACTCCAAGTAATAGAACTGAAGGTCATCGGCCGGGTAAGATCGAGATATTATGAGTCGGGTCATGAGAAAAAATAAGTCGGTTGTTGGTTTCATAAACAACAAAATTTTAGGTGTTCCGCACATAATTAATCTAAAAAAATATTCCCATTCTCAAATAATGCTAAAACATTTAGCAGTGCCTTAATTTTTTTTCTCTCCCCGTATCAATTTACTGAGATACTAAAAAGTCAATCTAAACTGTCCAGTACATATTACATTGAGATGTTGGAGAATTTAGCGTTGTAGCAATGTATGAGATTCGAGATGAGATGCAGTAGGAACTTGTCGGATCAGGTTAACATGCTTTAAAGATGTAAAAGAATGATAAGAATAATACAAGGGTATAATGGAAACAAATGCCACCAAATTCTGTGACAAAAATCAAATGATAGTTTGATAAAGAGCCTGAAAAAAATATAGAGTAAATATTTTTTTCTGTGGCATGAATAAATATGAAGTACATATCAAAATGTTAGTTTAATAAACGGCCTGACCAAAGATTCGCTATAGATCCAAGTTTTTTCATTACACTGAAAATTTTATATTATAGCTAACATATATCTCCGCTTATTGAGATAAAACTTACCATTAATTTGGAAATTTAAGAAAGCATGTGGATAATATTAGTGCAGTATTACATCTCTAAGTTCCAGCATCAATGAATTTGTCTACTGGACAATAAATTTCAGCTCATGAAAATTAATTAAAGAATATCAAGTTTCAATTAATAAGAGTTCATCAGATAATATACCTCAATAATGGTAGGAACGGAAGCTATTTTCGGTAGAGGTTGCAAAGCTAATAAAGACAGAAATGCATCTGTATCAACTTCATACCTGACAAGAACACCAACAAAGACAATTCTCCTATGAAAAACTGCCTTCTAGAAAAAGTAACAACGATGCCGTACATGCCTTCAAAAAAAGCTGAAACAATCCACAAAATGTGAGGTGATCATAGACATTAAAAGGAGTCAAATTAGGGCATAACATTGAATTGAGCCAACTCTCAAGCCTTTTTAACCCATTTATTTGGTTGAATTTCTTTTTTTTTAAATTGAATAATTTTAAGAACTATTTTTATAAGAATATGCTTTTACATCTGAACATATGTTAGGATTGAATAAGAATGTGTTGTAGATTGAGGAACATCATCGATCAATTTTGTTTTGATCAACAAATCCATATAATTTGGTAATCTTGAAAGATGTCGCACTGTTTGAGACAATGCAACGCAACACACTGAATCAGTAGACAATACTAAGAGTAATAAAATGGATCACATTGGCCAAGATTCTCTAAACTTATCATTATGGAGTCCACAAAAACATGTGTCATTTTCTTTATGGAATATCTTAATAGATTAGTGAAAAATCATAACGATGCTCGTTAGTCTCACCCAACTTTTAGGCTAAACAATAGCTATAGTTTCACAACAGCGTTTACAAATAATTACTAACCAGTCATTCTTTGTCGGCAACATGATAATTGACCTTGCTCTGCTTGCAGCTGCTCTTTCAAAAGACTTTGTCAAGCTAAGGCTACAACTAAATATATGGAACCATGTGTTAAACACTAGCAGAGCAAGTGGAAACTTTCATAAAAACAAACAAAAATAAATAAATGGCAGTAAATGTGTATATATGATATATTGAGATAAAATATAAATACCTAGTAATAAACAAACGAATAATAACAGTAAAACCAAACGAGCTACAAATCTATTTCATCAAAATGAATGTTAAAAGATGATCTTAAATGGTTTCAACGTGACAAGATAGCTGGCCCTCAAGCCTGTTTCACATACAAATTTTTAAAAAAGGGATTATTAATCTAAGCTGTTAAGATCACAGGAAAAAACAGACAATATTTAGAAAATTTTATACTCATCTAATGGGCACGAGCTCTATGTGGTTGAAAAATGAAAATACTTCTGTAGTTGAACCTTTCATATCAAGGGATGAAAACTATCACTTCCTCAAAACTCGTTAATATTAATGTTCCAGGATTAACAAGTCGTCCTGTATTTAATATTTATATCTCCTGGGCGAGCTCAGCAAGGACAAATACCCTTTCAAAAGTGATGGTAAAAAGAAATATCCTTTCAATTTGAAGTCAACAAATTTAGATAAAAAATCTCAAAAAATATACACATTGAATTGTTAAATAATGCACTTTAAGCAGCATCAGTATCCCTTGTAGACTTAAAATTGAGAATTTCCAATACCTCTTTGTAATGACATCGATATGGTTAAAGTCTTTGGTAATACTATCACCAAGCTTTTCTATATGCTTCCTGGGGAGATCAGACAAGAGAAGAATTCGTTGCTTCCTGCATATTGAATGCAAATTCACAGATCAAATTCACTTGCATACACATTTATATGCATAATTCCCAACACAGCTTCTTCCATATTAGGATCTGATGGCAACTTGATTCCCTATCACACCCACTCCAATTATACAACTCTAGCTTGATTGGAAAAAAGGATAACAGCGAGAAAAATTATATCCCCAAGGGCCAGAAAAGATACTTGACAACGGGAAGGTGCGGACAATTTTATGAGGACAAGGAAGTATCACAAAGAGGGTGTGACGACATAATAATCCATGAGCATTGCTGAGAACTTTGAAGAGAAAATAGTTTGGGTCGTATTCATCTATTTGTGGATTTATGGGAAGAATAATTCAGAAGTACTCAAGTATTAAGAGATCTAGAGAAATAGTACATCTATAGAGATTTACCTTGCTTTAGCAGTACCCAGACGAATCGCTGACTCATGGAACTTATTTAGCTGCTTTAATATAAACATTAGATGACTGTTAACACCGCAGATAATTATATGGTCAGTCTCCATGACTTGTAGCTGTGCTCCTTCTCGGATCTTTTGCATATTGTACTGTCATGATAGAAATATGTGAATTTATAAAAGATTAAACATAGAGAACTAAGATTCATTTGATTCAAATCTTACTCTGAATTGTTCCGTCATTGTGCTCAACAAGCGAGAATAGAATAATAAGCCCCAGATGGCCAGGACAAGACCAAGAATACGCTCAACACGTGTTCTTTGCTGTTAAGGAAAGCAAATAAAAGAGGTACATTTTATAAAGGGAAAATTTTGGTAGCAAATTCAAACTAGTAAGCAGTTATCGTAATAAATGCAGTCGAGGAAGATGTTTTTTGCTAGCAAAATCAAATTTGAGAGTGGTCACAGAATATGCAGAAGAGACAGAGAAATGGGCCAAACAATCAGGGTATTATGCAGCCCAAAATCAAATATTATGGAACATTATTGGTCAAGATTGATGACTGGCAATAATGATCACAAAGCGGAAGAAGTGATGATTAATGATGAGCATCTATACAGCTACAATAAACATCAACTTTGACAGATGAGGCAGTCAAAAGAAAGGGAATTCATTGCTTCAATCCTTGGATTCATCCCTGGGTAATGTCCTACCAAAAAAGGCCCAAAAAGAAGTTATATATATATGAACAAATCAAAAATTTCTGACCAATGCTGGCTGATAAAGAAATATGCATAAGCATGACTTGATGTTTGACCAGAAAGTAGTAGAATAAAAAGATTAATTGATGGATCTTTTTAGTTAGTACCAAAATATTCCGAAAAAGCATGAAAATTTGTAGCAAATCCTTCATGAAGAACCTTTTTCTTCTTTTTCAATTTCTTGCTGACAAAGGTCTATTTTACTTTGTAAGATTACACCTCCCCTTGAAAGTACTAAAATGAGATAGGGAATGTAATAAACCTGTTAAGTCCTTTGCTCTTTTAACTTAGACTCTATCAGGTATAGCTTTCTGTTGAATGATTCTTAGGACGCAGGGAAAAACAACTGCAAAAAAATTCAATTGTCCAAAGGCTGAACAATAACTTGCTTGTTTAGCTAGCTTCCCATATTTTATAGATTTTAGCTTTCTTAAGTAATTAATTAATCAAATTTTTTAAATGCATGCACGGAGTTTGGTAATTCTTCAGTACTAGCTCATACCCGCAAATGAGTGGATGATGAACAAAGGCAAGCCCAAGCTTCCCAAAAACAATCTTCTAGAGACTGCTTCTTGTTCCTGAATAGACAAATAATAAATAATACCACTTAACATATCCTTAAAGGTTAATACATGTGTTCTGAGAAAAACACAAGAAAATAGAACCAAATGAAAAACATATTATAAATAAAATTCCTTTATCAAAAGCAAGTTGCAAATTCATCAATAGTAAATGAATCTGCATTAATTCCCTCAAAGCTTACTTTGAGATTTATCCTGTACTCAAGCTGATATATTCAGCTCTCCAATTTAGTGCAACAAGCTTCCTTTCTTTTGCAACAAATGGATCACAGAATTATATTATATTATGTATGCATGTGCATACCTGTGCGTTGTTTGTATATATACAAACACACACACAAAGCCTTCAGATGTATTCTATTCAAGGTCATCTGTATCATATATCTAAATAAAAAATTTTAGTCACTTTAACTATAATTTAAATTTATCTATAAGTGGCATGCTTTTAAAGATAAGAATTCATGTAGAATAACACACAAGTTTGTTTCAAGCTCCCTTAATTGCATAATATCCTCACGTCCCCTCTCTCTACTTATGCTCTCTTATTTCATTGATTAAACCGCTAAGATCCTTCCATCACCATTTTCTTCAGAGGGTAACCATCAAAAAACTTTACCCACTATCTGCCCTTACATAACCCCCTCCAATCCACTAAAATAAACCACCTTTTTAACTCAAAAAGATAAAATCCTTTAACAAAGAAAAATATCTAATTCTACAGAAGCAATTCGAATTTTAAACCAAAGCCTTTCAAAATTCTTATGTGATTTATTAAGAAGAGCTCCAAAACTTAAGATGCCAAGATTTTTTTCAACAGTAGATTGAGTTTTTCATGAAAAAAAAAATTTATTGATATCAATCAGGTTTATTTAGATGAGATTCAAGAATTACTATGAAGGTAAGCTCTTATAGTTAATTACTTTTTCATATTAAAAAAATACTAGCAATTAAGAAAATCATTTGGTTGTTAATTTAAGAGTACTAGCATCCACAAATTTCTCTTATTCGTATCCCATGTAAGTATGAGAAATGAGTCAAAGGTAGATGGTACGTCTTATCAAGGTGATGGGGACATCAGAGCCTGGAGAATTTATCACCGTAGAGGCCGGAGATCTAAAGCCTTGATTGAGTCTTTATATTTTTAGTTTCCATGTGTTGTAGGACATTCATGTAGTGTTATTTATTTTATTACAGTTTTACCCTCACTTGAGGGAGCTTTTGTGTTGTTTGTCCAAGGGTCTTTTTGTCTTTTTGTCTTTTATTTCTTTCATATTTTTAGTGCCTATATATATGGCTCATTGATTTCTTGTATAGATGATGAATATTTTAATATAAATTTCTGGTTACATGCTTTCTCTTCTCATGGTGAGTTGAGTTTGTGTGTGAAATCCTTTGAAAAAATGGCAAAGAAATACCCAACATCATGTGAGCACTTGGTTGGTATCATCTTCCCTCTCTCTCTTTTTTTCTCCTTCCCTAGCAGCCAGTTGCAGCAACCTGCTGCCCTCAACCAGCAACCACCTCCCTCCCTCTCTATCCTCCTCCACCTTCTCCCCAACATCCTTGACCCTTGAGCTTCCCAAATTCTGCAATTAATGCACATTAATTGAGCATTTATCTCAATTAATTGTGACATTTAGAGATCCACATCCACTTTAACTTTTTCTCTTCCCAAGCAAACCACATTAGCCTCTCTCTTCCCCAAGCAACCAACCCGGCCAACATCTTCACCTCCCAAGCTAACTTCTCCCTTTCCCAAGCCAACTAATTCCCTTCTCAAGCAAACCACATCAGCTCTTTCTCTTCCCCAAATAGTCAACCCCCACATCTTCACTTCACAAGCTGATTTCTCCCTTTCCAAGCCATTAAAATCAGCCAAATCATCTCTCCCCTCCTCCTCCCCATGTAGTCGGCCTAGTTCACCCCTCCAAACCCCAAAACCGTGAACTCTCCACTTTTAAATCCTCATATCTAATTCCCTTCTCAAGCAAACCACATCAGCTCTTTCTCTTCCCCAAATAGTCAACCCCCACATCTTCACTTCACAAGCTGATTTCTCCCTTTCCAAGCCATTAAAATTAGCCAAATCATCTCTCCCCTCCTCCTCCCCATGTAGTCGGCCTAGTTCACCCCTCCAAACCCCAAACCGTGAACTCTCCACTTTCAAATCCTCATATGGTTGAAACTTTTTTTTCCCATCCTCACTATTCTACCTCTCCAAGGAAACTTAGCTTCTAATAATGCAACAAGGACATTGATTCAACAAAGAGCAAGGGTTTCAAAGCAAGCCAAGGAGGAACTAGCCGTCATTTCATCAAGGACTCCATTCCTCCCATTTATGAGCCAAGTATCAAACCATCCTCTGGTTCTTCATCTAACTAAATATTGGTCTTCTCATTTCATCTATAGTAGCATCATCTCATAATTGTTGATTAATCCGCCAAGTTCTACTCAAATTTGAGCGAACAAAAACTCTAGTGACTAGTCCCTTACTTAAATGTTTGACTTGTGACAATCCATGTTAGCTAGTCTAAACTGATTCACCTTTTGTTATTATTTAGCATTTACTTATTAGTTTCTTGCTATCACATGATCTAATAGTTCGAATTTTCTTATTGTTCTTAATATTTTATGAAGTTTATTTTGTTGTCTTTGATGTTATCTTAGCATAAATCTCTATTTGCATGACTTATTTTGCTTAGTCACGCATCAAAAGATCTCATAAATCCAATTATTCTGTCATTCAAGGTTTTAACTGGACCCTCAAACCAAGAAGTCAAGGTATGTTAGCCTCCATGTAAAGCTAAGACTTGTGTTGTATATGCAAGCACATATAGCTCGACCATACTAATTTAATAAGTTTATTATCACCAGGGATGTTAAAAGTGCACCAAGAAGTGTGCTTGATAAGTCAAATGTTGTTAAGCGAAGGACCCTCACATCGCTACTTTATCATGCGTAATGAGGTTGCAAAGAGTGTGACTCACTCGGTCAAGTGCAAAAGCACTTGCATGAAGCACTCTGCGTTGCGATTAATTCAATCCAATTTAATGTTAGAATTGGTTCAGTTTCTATAAAAGCTTGTTTTGTTTTCTACGTCTGGATCCTTTGCAATTTCGCCCTAACCGTAGCAGCCATACCCCTCAATCTCATGCAAGAGTCTTGCAACCTTCCCAACAATAATCGTTGCCTTCTCTATGAGCATTGAGTAATGGCTTATCGACCATCATCTCGTGCGTGTGATGGATCATAAGCGAGTATAATTTTTCTTGTAAATGAAATTTTGATAATGTTCTTGTTTAAAATTTTTAACAATGTTTTTGTTTATAAAATACATTTATATTTAAAAAATAGAAAAATTAAATTCATAAGATGTCATATGTTGAAGTAAATAATTTTTATATGATTTAAGAAATTATTTCTAACTTTTCTCTAATTAATGTAATTATTTATGCAAAGCAAAAAAATTTGATTTATATTTCTTAGAAAATAAATGTTGAGTGTGTATTTGAGTTTTTTTAAAATAAATTCGTATTTTGTATATGATTTATTATTTATATAAAGAAAATAATTATCAATAAAATTATGATCTAAAAAATTAAATGACAATATGGTTAGTATTCTCTAGCTCAGTCTCCTCTTCAAAAAAGGGTGTATCACTGAAAATATCATCAATACCATCATCCTCAAGTGAATGAAACTCATCTAAAATAAGGATTTGTGCATTACACTAATGTTGCATATGGCCCTTCTTATGGAACTTGAAATATATAATCTCTTTAGTATCCTTAAAACTCCCCTAAGAAAAATCACATCTAAAATTCATTAATCAAAGTGAATATTTGAAGTAATGCATAAAAACCTAAGAAATTTTTTTTAAAAAAAGAGAGAATTTTCAAAGCAAAGACAGAAGGGCAATAGGGCCACTCCATTTTTTTCCAATTAAGGACTAGCCGCCGCACCTAACTTCCAACAAGGATAAAGCAATTAAAGAAAAGGAAAATTAATAAAATAAAAATCTCCCACATGAAGGAAAATATTTAAATTAATTTAAAATTTAAATACTAAAATTTGATATTTGAATTTTAAAAATTTAGTTATGCATGTCATTTTAAACTTTTCAAAAATGGACTTCTTTAATTTTTCATATTAGATGAATCTCTCTTGGCCTTTAATTTTGATCTTGTGATGGGCCATAATGGTCCATGCTCTAATCTTGAGCCTTCGATCTTGATCTAATAGTGGGGCTATAATAATTTTTAGCTTGATGTTCTGCATCATTGAGCATTAGTAAATTAGTTAGCAACTGGTATAACAATGAAGAAAATAACCTTTAACAGACAGACTGATTGTGTTTATTTTAATAGCTGTCATTGAGACTTTGATGTAACTAGTTTGTTTCTTTATTGTTATTAGGGTTTACTAGGAACTTAGTGCCGTAATATAATATCCTAATGTTATCTTACACCTTTGCCCGTTTTACCGGCTCAATAAATAGGAGGCTGTGGTGAACATTATTACATTATGCTGAATGAAAATTTCCTGTAATTTTGGTGATTGGTCCTTGCTGTGAGCATGCTGGTTTTTCTTCCTAGGCTGTGTAAAAAAAACTCTACATTGTGTACCTAGAACTCTACGTTGTGTACCGAAGTAGTGTTAGGCTACAAGATTTTTTTCATTTTTTTTTTCTTCCCCTACTGTTTTCCCTTTAATATTTCACTATTTTTTTCATCTTCCCTCTCCAACATACATTATCCAGTAAACAATGATCACAAGATTAGAAAAAAAATCAATGTAACACTTTCCAATGTATAGTTAACTGAAGATATGTACAGGTACCGCACCAAAATTACGTAGGTACCTGAACTTGTAAAATAGAAAACCTCCAACTATGACGAATGAAAAACATGCTGCAAGTAAGGCCATGAAAAACCTACAAGATGCACAAAAATACTTCGATCAGTTGAAAATTTTCAAAACTACAAATTAATTAAAGCAAGATACGTGTCCAGATATACAACTTCAAGCTGTGAATAGCCACATGATAAAAGTAGAATCACAACAGTTCTCAGCTTTTGGTCCAAAATTACAACCTAGGCAACGAAGATGCACTTCAGACTAAACATTCTAAAAATACTTTTGTAACTAAACGAAATCTAAATGGTACAAAATTGAAACAATTGAATTATAAATATAGATTTCGATGTTACCATCATCATTAGTCTCATCCCAACTACTAGGAGTTCATTCAATGAATCCTCATAATCCCTTGATAACAACTAAGCATTGCACTAACTTATTATAAACCCTAGTTAGTGTAAATCTTTCTAAGCAACTTCTACTCAGGTTATAAAAAAAAAAAAAACTTCTACTCAGGTTATATGAGAGCAATTATGTATGATTTTGTAATTATTTATTTATTTATTAAAATATATTGTATAAATCTATAAATAGAGACAGATTTGAGCAATAAACTGATAGGAAGTAGATGCAATTTTCTCGAAATCAGCGAACAACAATAAGAAATTAGGAAGAAAAAACACACCAAAACTATTTTTATTACAAGATATATGAAAGAAAATATCAATATACAGTTTGATCTTCAATAAGAGAGGAAGATCTTGCTCTCACAAATCCCTAGCCGTCGGATAGAGCCTAAATAACCTAAGAATAAACTAAATTCAGCAAACTCCCAAAACATAATCTGAAACCACCCTATTGTTAGCCTTAAATAGACTCTCATAATTCCCTCCCAAATTAGCCCTCTTTCCCTAAATAATTTTCTTTCAAATTTGAATTCAAATTAGATTTATTTCCCTAATTAATTCCCTACCAATTTTAATTAAGACTTTCCTAAACAATCCCCCCTTAATTCCTCATTTTCCCTAAATAATTTCCTCTTAGATTTTGAATTCAAATTAGAACTTTTGCTTAAATAATTCTCTCCCAACTATAATTTAAACATTCCTAAATAATTTTCCTTTGATTAAGAACCTTCCTAAATAGCTTCCTCTTGATTAGGAAACTTTTTGATTCCCTCCCAATCAAATCGGTCAGTCCATCATAAACTTAAGCCTTTTCCCTCTACAATTATTTGAATTTAACATGGTATCATAGCATTCATTATCATTGCCGGAATTTTAATTTTTTTTCTACTATCGTGCCTTCATTGTCAATCTTCCCTTGTTGTTATCCTATCTATAACCAATGCAGCCTTCCTTGCTGCCCTTCTTGATATAGCCTTCATCGCTACCCTTGTCGCTGCAATGTCTGAAGCAAATTCCTCCCAAAGCTTTAACCAAATAGAAGACTCGATGAGGCACCAAGGAAGAGAAGATCTCCAACATATGCAACCTTCCTATCGCTTAAATGGGAAGAATACTTGAAGTGGTCTCAATTTGTGAAGACCTGCTTGAAAGGAAAAGGAGAGTTGAATCACATCCTTGGGGTAGTACTAAAAGGAGATCCTAATTTTTTGGCATGGGATAAAGCGAACTCCATGATTATGTCATGATTGTGAAATTCCATAACTCAAGATATTAGTGATATTTTTATGTTCCTATCTACTGCAAAGGACAGATGGGATGTCACCAGGTAAACCTTCTCATTGGCTTGGGATGCTGTCATATCTTTGAAATTAAGGTCAAGGTGGGAAACACAAAACAATGAAGCAAATTTGTAACGGAATAGGCCACTCTCCTTCAAAACTTGCGGCAAGAACTTGATCACTACATATGCATAAAGACCAAGTGCCCAGAAGATATGTATGACTTTCTTGCAAGATTAAATGTGGAGCTTAATCAAGTTAGAGTTCAGATCCTTAGCAAAGACGAGACATCTTCATTAAACGAGACCATTTCGCTCATTCGTGCTAATGAAAGCTGACGAAGGGTAATGCTGGAGCCAAAGATAGTTGAAGGTTCAGCAATTGTGTCAACCAAAGAGGCGTTATTGAAGGAAAAATATAAGGATTCCTCAAAACTACAAGACTCTTTTTGGTGTAGCTATTGCAAGAAATCAAAACACACAAAGGATACATGCTGGAAGATACATGGAAAGCCCCAAGGAGTGGAATCAAAGAAGTGGACAAAAGGGCACATCACAAGCCAACACTACAACAAGTCAGCCCAACCCAGAAATGTAATCCAGCTTCAGAGACCTCAATAAAATGGATATTGATAAACTAAAATAACTCCTGGTATCCCTTGAAAAATCATCTACATCTTCTTCTCTTGTACTTTGAGATAAGTTTCATATATCCATTGGATTAAGTGTTTCTAGAAATAATTTGAAAGGAATATGAATTATTGACATAGGAGCCACAAATCACATGACACACTCCACTACCCACTTCATTAACTATACTCTTTGTCCAAGTGACAAGAAAATTATCATTGCTGATGGTTCACTTACCACATAAGCAGGCCAATGAGCATAATTGTCCTTATCCGCCTCCCTTAGACATAAATGGATGATAGTACAATCCATTTCTCCTTATCCGCCTCCCTCTGTCAAAAAAATGTTCTCCACGTATCTCAATTATCCACAAACCTAATCTATATACAAAAACTTGCCAATGACCATAATTGTCAAGTCTTATTTAACCCCACTTGTTGCTTATTTCAAGACCAAGGATCGAGGAAGAAGATTAGACATGCTAAGGAGAGAAATTGATTGTACTACCTGGAAGAACTGAACAATCTAATACTATCAATAATGGCTATTTTATGTTATCCCTATTTAATAAAAAGATATACTATTTGGCTTCATCATTTTAGATTAAGACATCCATCTTTTGATGTGTTAAGAAATATGTACCCAAAACTTTTTTATAAGTTGAAAAATAAATTTTTTCATTATGAAACATGTGAGTTAGCCAAGCATAAACGAATTTTTTTCAAATAAACATTAGAGATGTAATACTCCTTTTTATCTTATTCATAGTGATATCTGAGGGCCCTCAAAAATCCTATTATCTCAGGAGTCTGATGGTTTGTATCATTCATTGATGACTGCACTCGAGACTCTTGAATGTTTCTCCTCAAAAATAAATCCAATGTTAACACTATCCTCCCTATTTTTCATACCATGATCTAGAATTAATTCAAGGTAAAAATACGAAAATTTCATTTCAACAATGCTAAAGATTATTTTAACCAAATCCTATCCTCCAACTTTCAAAAATAATGTATAATTCATGAGTTCCTGCATTCTCACCCCCACAACAAAATGAGGTTGCATAAATAAAAAATGATCACCTTCTAGCCTCCATCCCTACACTTATATTCCACCACAATGTATCAAAATACTACTAGGGGGAAGCCCTTCTAACTATCACATATCTCATAAATCGACTACATTCAAAAACCTTAGGACTAAAAACACCAATGGATATTATATCCTCTTTTTATCCCAAATTCGGACCCATAATAACCTTACACCCAGAATCTTTGGGTGCACTGCCTATGTTTACATTCACAGCCAAAATAGAGAAAAATTAGATCCAAGAGCACTCTGTTAGAACGGTCTAGCCAGTCCACACGGGACCGGCACAGGCGCGAATGAGGCGGACATTCTCCACCTCCTGCTATAGCCGCACAAGCCGCAAAGCCCATGGAGCCTTTTAGGAAGGCTTTTTGAAGGGAGTTGGGAGGAAAATTTCAAAGTACGAGTTGTTTACAGATTTCCTTTTGAATTGTATGCATTAAATAGTTTGTTTTCCTAAGGTTCTGGCATCTTGAATTTGGTTGAAATTTGAAATATCTTAGATTTAGGTTTTCTTTTGGGCTCTAGCGGCGTCTAGAGATTTGGGAGAGATCGATCATCCTCTCGAATAGAGGATCAATTGTATCTTGCTATTTTCCTTTTCCCATTCATCAAATAATACAAATTATCTATTATTTTCGTGGTTTTGTGCGGATTTTTGTGGAGAATTCTCACTGTTTTTTGAAGATTGATAGAAAATACTTGAGATCTACAAGTATTTCCTATCAGTATTCCAGGCGTACAAATCCAAACTCACCTCCAGAGCAGATCCAAGAATTTGAACCATCTCATGAAATTGAGATAAATACAAGTTCACCAAAAAAAAAAAACTCTCTTGTACCCTATAACCAACTTTGTATCCTTCAATAACTTCTTACCTTCACACAAAAATTTCTAATTACATTAAATAATCCTGGTTTAACCAAGAATTTGAAATCTAAAAAGATTTGGTTAGAAAATATTAGGAATGACCTTTCTTTATTAGATTTAAACGAGAATTTGACTTTTAATAGGACACAATGGAGAAAAAGGATTCATGTAGCCGACCCCACGTAGTGGGATAAAGGCTTGATGTTGTTGTTGTTGTTGTTGTTACATTAAATAATCCGAGCAGATCCAAGAATTTGAAATATCTCTTGAAATTGAGATAAACACAAGTTCACCAAAAAAAAACTCTCTTGTACCCTATAACCAACTTTGTATCCTTCAATAAATTATTACATTCACACAAAAATTTTCTGATTACACTAAATAATATTCATATTCCTAATTATATTTTTAAGCCTTATTTGATGAAAATTGGAAAAATACCATGAAATATGAAATGCAAACCCTAGAGAAAAAAAATACCAAGGAGATCACTGACCTACCAGTAGGATAAAAACTAATTGGATGTAAATGGGTGTTCTTTGTGAAATACAAAGCTGATGGTACATTGAAAATGTACAAGACAAGACTGATGGTGAAAGGATACACTCAGGCGTACGGTATTCAGTACCAGAAAACTTTTGCACATGTGGCCAAGATGAACACCGTGAGGATCCTGCTCTCGCTAGCTGTTAATTACAACTGGCATCCATTTTTGACAGCCAGTTGTAACTAAGTGACTTGAACTGGCTGACCATGCCTTCAACAAATGACTAGGGCTGCAAGTGAACCAAACTTTCG